AAAATACAAATATCGAAATAATAAAATAATATTAAGATAAAATAATAAACTAATAAAATAAAACTGTTCTATAACAGTATTGATGAAGAAGAAAATATAGGTGATTTACAAGCTGCTGCAACTGCCATAACTTGATTGGCTAAAGCTATTTCTAGAGGAGGAGGAGGAGAAAAATCTCTCATCAAAATTAAACTATTTAAAGGAAATAGTAGTGAAGACTCTGTTGATTGGATTAATGAATTTGAATAAGCTGCTACTGCTAATAATTGGAGTGATAAAAGAAAACTTGCTATTGCTAAAGCCTATATACAATATAATGCAGAAGAATGGTTTAAAGGCCTAGCTGATAATATAATTGAGACATGTAATAATAATGACTATGAGGATGACAACAAGTTTAAAGTATTGTTTTTAAAGAAATTTACAACTCTCAAGAAATTAGCTGCCTGGCAACAAGAATTTTTTGACCTAAAACAAGGAGCTAATACTATAAATATCTATGCTGCTTAGTTTAAGAAACTGAAAAAGAAAGTAAATCCAAACCCAGACCATACCTTCTCTGATCCTTTAATTGTTCAACTTTTTATTAAAAGATTGCGATTAGAATATACAATTCCTGTTCAAGCATCAACCCCAGAAAATTTGAATAATGCAATTGCTGCTGCTAAACAATGGGAAACTAGAAGATTAATGGCCTCACCAGAAGATCTAATAATAGATGCTATCCATAATCTTACTAGCTGGTTTAACAAATTAGCTATTAATATAGTTCAGCAACAACCAGAACTACAACTCAAGTTTGCCTATATAGCTGAAAGAGAGTCTAGTTCTTCTCATCAATACAACTCTAACCAGACTAAAGCCCTTTGCTATTATTGTAGTGATCCTGAACATTTTATTGCTGACTGTAAAAAAAGAAGAAGTAATAACCAAAGGAATAGATACAATGGAAGGAAAAACAATAACAATAATAGAAGAAGCAACAATTGCTATAATGACAATAGAAGAAACAGAGATAAAAGTCAAACTTGAGATAGAAATTATAGAGACCAAAGTCAATCTTATGACAGAAATTACAGAGACAGATCTAGAGAAAGAAGCCAAGAAAGATGGTGATCTAGATCTAATCGTTCATCATTCCTCTACTATCAAAATATTAATATGGCTAAAAAGCAACCTGCCTCTAATTCTAATAATTAGAAAAGATTGTTAGACAACTACTCTATTAGAACTGCTCTCACTACCTATATTACTGAAACCAACTGAGAAAATACCAAACCTCAGCCTATTAGTACTATTACCCCTGTCAAATGTTATATCGATATACCTACCCTGCTATTATTGACAATGGAGCCTCTGTCAGTATGATCTCACACCAAACTGTAAAAGAACTTGGACTAAAAATTGAAGAGCCATCTAAGAGTCTTATTGTTGCTGCTACTGGTGCTACCTTCAGACCTCTAGGAATTATCAGAAATTTGCTTATTAGAATCTAAGGTTGACTAATCTCCTTAGATGTTAAAGTAGTATCTGCTACTTCATATTCTATCTTACTTAGAAATAATTGGTCTAAAAAGTAGAAGCTAATTATAACTAGAAAACTTGCTAATATACTTTATATTAGAAAGGAAAGAAAATTGTTCTTGATACTTCTTATAAACAAGAACAGCCAAAGAAGAAGCAGCAAACCTGTGTCAAGCTGAATTATATGAGCAGAAATATTTAACACCTCATGAAGCCTATATATTTTCTGCATTCTCAAAAGATGAAAACCAAGGATGGACTACCTACTAACCTCGACGAAAGAAACCTCCATGCAAGACTTGTGGCCAAGCTAATCACCAATACAAAGACTGCCCCCAAAAACAATGCTACTATTGTAATCAATTTAGGTATATATTCATTAACTGCCCTAATAAATATGAAAGATCAAATAGTTGTCAAACTTGTAGACAAACTATTCACCTTTTTAAAGATTGTCCAGACAACCATTGCTATAGTTGTAATGAATTTGGTAATATTGAAATTAACTGTTCTCTTGCCTAACTCAAACTTGATAATCTTATTTATAAATGTGGATGTGACAAAAACCAAGTAGAAGAACAAAGAATAGCCTACTATAGTAAAAGAAGAACCCACTATTGTTGTTATTGCTATACTCCTTAACAACCAGACAAGCTCTATAAATTAGAAAAGAAACTTGCTTTTACTGCTTGCTACAAAACTTATTATGAAGCCTTTAACACAAAAGACCCCAGAAGCCAAGAATATTACCAAACAGGACTTGATAAAGGAACCCTTTTCTGATGCAGACTTTGTAATATTCAGAAACCCAGATCAAGAATACATAATATAGAGAGCATATGAGAAGAATTATGGTTCTGCGAACTGGAGCATATGTATGCTTATAAAATCTTTACAAACCTTCAATATAATTTAAATTATGAAATTTGGAACAGAATTAGGCATTATACTGAGTCTATCAGGAATGCTAGACATCAGTATGATTTGAACCAAGACCGAATTTATCGTTTAGTACAAGTTTTGCTTGCTGAAGACTACAAAACTATAGAAAAAGCTATGGAAGAGCAAGAAGATGATAGATATAACCGAGAATGGACCTCTGAAGAAATTACTATTCTGTTTTGAGCAGAACAAGTATTCTTAACAGAAGAAGAAGAAGTTACTTTACAACAAATCTTAAATGAATCCTTCAATACTTCTCAACTTAACTTTGATACTTATAAAGCAATTAAGAATTTAAGAAAGAATTTTGAAGGAAAAGTAGCTCTTTGTCAAGAATGCCTCTTTGCTAAACAATGTACTAAATTAGAAATAAATCAAGGTCTTTGTGATGAATGCTATCAAAAAAAGAACAAACCAAATCCTTTAGAAGAGCCAGATACAGAAGAAATATACAATGATAAAATTGTATCTGTAGAGTAAAAGATAAATGAGCTATATCAGGATATGGTTAATTTAAAACAACTATGAGAAGAAATATTACAAAATAATATTGATAATGTAGAACAGCCTGAGATAAGTGAAAACACTATCTTTGAGGAGAGGAAAGATGAAGAAAAAAACCAGATTATTAATCGACTAGAAGCTAAAGTCCAATACTTAGAGGAAAATTTTGAAAAGATATAGGATTTTTTTAACAACAAATTCAACATTATCAGAAACGAGCTGATTACTATGCTCATATGGCCTTTACACTGCAAAATTTTTGAGCTATCCTAGGCAAGATGAAAAACTACCTGAAGACTTAAAAGACTTAGAAGAACTACTAACAGAAACAGAAGCTTTGCAACAGGCTTTGCAAGCTAATACTCTTAAATATAACTTTGTATATACTGTACTATAGATACTTTAATTCCTTATAAGGAATATATGGGGTCTTTGCCTTAAAAATCAAGTTATGGGACATAGTAAATTATATGTCCCATATTTGATTTTCAAGGCAAAGACCCCATATTTTAGAAAAGACAGACACTGTAAAATGTAGAACCCCTTATGTGTGATCAAGGACAGCAATTCAAAGCTTTACTGAAAGAATTTGCTAACCTATTTGCTAAAAATATTACTGAACTTGATAGAACAGACAAGGTTAAATATAAAATCTATACAGAAGATGTGCTACCTATCAAGTTACGACCTTACAATGTACCTCCTGATGAACAAGAATTTATCAAGCAAGAAATTGAATGAATGATGGACAGCAACATCATTCGAGCCTCAAAAAGCTCTTAGGTATCACCTGTTGTTTTAGTATAAAAAAAGAATAGAAATTTAAAATTCTGTGTTGATTACAGAAAACTTAACAGTATCACCAAAAAGGATGCCTACCCTCTATCTCAAATTCAAGAAATGTTGAATACTCTTTCAGGATCTCAATGGTTTTTGACTTTAGACTTAGCTAGTAGGTACTGGCAAGTTATAATAGACTCTAAAGATAAAGAGAAGACTGCTTTTATTATAAAGTATAGAACATATGAGTTCAATATAATGCTGTTTGGACTATGTAATGCCTCTGCTATTTTTCAATGACTTATGAACCAAGTATACAAAGGAATTGCTTAGAAATTTGTAGTTGTATATCTTGATGATATCAATATATATTCCCGAACATTTTAGAATCATTTAAAACACTTAAGAATTATGTTTCAACAGATAAGAGATGCTAGATTAAAGCTCAACCTTGAAAAGTGCAACTTTTAGATGAAGTCCTTACTTTTTTTTAGCCATATCATCAGTTCTAAAGGAATAGCTCCTGATCCCTCAAAAATTGAAACTGTACAGAAGATTTAATCTCCAAAGAATACTACCAAACTACAATCTTTTCTTGGGTTAGTTGAATACTATCAACAATTTATCCAAAATTTTTCAGCCATAGCTCGACCTCTGAACCAACTTCTCTACAAAGATGAGCCCTATTATTGGGGAAGCAAACAGCAACAAGCCTTTGATATTCTTAAAAAAAACTAATTACTGCACCTATATTAGCTTACACTGATTTTTGCAAGAGGTTTATTCTTGCTACTGATGCTTCTTATCATAGCTTTGGAGCTACTCTAAGTCAAAAAGATAGAGATGGAAAGGAATATCCTATTGCTTATGCTAGCAAAAGTTTAGTATCAGCAAAACAGAATTATTTTACAATAGAACTGAAATGTGCTGCCATTATATGGGCTATTAAACATTTTCACAGCTATTTTGGAGCTACTGAATTTACTTTTATAACTGATCACTTTGTATTAAAATGACTTAAAACTGTAGAACCAAAAGAAAGAATTGGATGCTAGATTTTGAAACTACAACCTTACAACTTTACTATCATATGTAGAATTCACTCTAATGTGAATGTCTTCTCAAAACTCTGATTAATCAGAATTTAAATAATGAATTTAGATCAATACCAAAATCTATTTAATTATTTAAACTCTGATAATATACCTCCTGACTTTACCACTTATCAACGAAAACAACTTCAAAATCAGGCTAAATACTTTATGATTAAAGATAGACTTTTATACAAGAAAAACAAATAAGACAAACCATTTAGAGTTATTAAATAGACCGAAGTAGACCCTATCTTATATATGATGCATAGTTATTCTACTGTTGAACATTTGGAATTAGATGCTATATACCATTAAATTGCAGAAAAATATTATTGGGACCAGATATATAGAGATATTAAGGAATATATAAAGATCTGTAAATAATATTAGAAAAGACACTAGTTGAAATACTGCTATTTATTATAATGAAAAATATACGCAAATAGGCTGATTGATTGACTATTTTTATTATTTTTATTATTAGCCAATTTATTGCTGATTGGTGGCAATTGCTGCCACTTAGCAGTCAATCGTCAAATAATAAAATTGATATTAAATCGCTTAAAATTGGCTATAATGACATTTGTAAGTAAATCGATCATAAATCACATTTAGTAAATAAAAAACTATATTAAATATTTGTAAATAAATCGATATAATTCATTAAACAAGACGCAAATCACTAACTCTTTCCGACGATCACTTGTACCAAGTTTTCTCTAAAAACAATTGCACTTTTCTCAATATTTTATTAAGTAAACCTACTCTG